CATAAGCCGATATGCAGTTACTCCGTTGCATCACTTCTTCTCTTTTTCACAATGACAGTAAATTATGCCTTTTTGAGGAATTTAAATACAGAATTTATGAATCACAATTAGGTTAGTATAAACCATTGACATCACACTGGCAATGAAGATCCGCATAGTTAAAGCAATGGTATTCTCTGTAGTAACCTGTGGATGCGAGAGCTGTACCATAAGGAAGGCTGAGCAAAGGAACATAGATGCGTTTGGACTGTAGTGTTGGCGGAAAATTCTGAGAGTGCCTTGAACCACGAGAAGATCAAACTAGTCCATCCTCCAAGAAATAAAGCATGACTACTGATTGGAGGGAAGGGTATTAGAGGCAAAGATGAAGTACTTTGGCCACATCATGAGAAGACAGGAAAGCTCGGAGAAGATCATGATCCTGGGGAAAATGGAAGGAAAAAGGAAGAGGGGCCAGCCAAGGGCAAGATGGATGGATGTTATCCTTGAAGTGACTGGATTGACCTTGAAGGAGCTGGGGGTGGTGACGACTGACAGGAAGCTCTGGCGTGGGCTGGTCCAGGAGGTCATGAATGAATAAACAACAACAAAACAATAACATAATTATTCTCAAATCTTGACATAATTATTCTCAAATCTTGTGCTGCAAGCAAACTGCTAGGGTGGCCAAACCAATGAATTGAAAAGTTAAGCATTCTTTTGAGCCTGAACTGCTAACTTGAAGAGAACATCTCACAGATCTCTACAATATCCAATTTTCTGGCCTTACCTCTTTCAGTCAGCTTCCACTTAGAGCAGTGTTTCTCAACCTGTGGGTCCCCAGATGTTTTGGCCTACAACTCCCAGAAATCCCAGCCAGTTTACCAGCTGTTATGATTTCTGGGAGTTGAAGCCAAAAACATCTGGGAGGGCCCACAGGTTGAGACCAGTGACTTAGGACTCTTCCACACAACCCTGTATCCCAGAATATCAAGGCAGAAATATCTGCTTTGAACTGGGTTATCTGAGTCTACACCCAGATAATGTGGGATTTCCTGCCTTGAGATTCTGGAATATAGTGCTCTGTGGAAGCCCCCCCTAGAGTGATAACTGGACTTATTCTTTGCATTGGATGTGCTTGAATGTTCCAATTAAATTATTCCCAGTTATTTTACTTTTGTCCGTGTGTCAGAAGTGACTTGGGAAACTGCAAGTTACCCCAGTTATGATAAAGCACCACACTTAGAAGGATTCAGAAGATGCTTACAGTCGTAGTTATGTTCTAAGTATGCCTTCTTCCAGTCTGGAAGCATTTCTGTAAATGGATCCATAGGGGTGACCTTTTCCAAGAAGGTAACACTTGCTCTTACAAACTATAACTTTGAAACTATAAAGATGAGATCACACAATAAATACAATGTATAGTTATTCTTGAAATGTTAATCTGTCTTCAGTTTAAGACTAGAACTACATAAAAATGCAAGTTGAAAGAACATTAAAATCTGAACTATCAAGGATATGCAAAACTGAGGTTTTTCTAGTCCTTAAGAACTAGAAGTAGCATTTGTGTTGCTAATAAACTAATAATGAAACATAATTAAGAGAATACCTGCTACCAGTTATTGGGGGGGGGGGGGATGGTGAAAGATATTGCTTGTTATACGTATATCTCTCCATTTAAAGCAGGGGTTCTGAAACTTTTTAAACAGAGGGCCAGTTCATGGTCCCTCAGACTATTGGGGGCTGGACTATGGTTTGAATTCCTATGCACACTGCTCATATCTTATTTGTAGTGCCAAAAAAAAAAAAAAGAAAAGAAAATGAAAGAACGATATTTAAAATGAAGAAAAATTTTAGTTAACATAAACTTACTACAGTAGTATTACAATGGGAAGTGTAGGCCTGCTTTTGGCTGATGTGATAGTAATGTTAATTAGGGTTGTTTTTATGTGCCTTCAAGTCATTTCAGACTTAGGGTGACCCTAAGTCTAAAGTTTAGGGTGGTGAAATGACCTTGGAGGTCCACATCTGGCCCACATACCTTAGTTTGAGGATCCCTGAGTTAAAGCATGGCTTTCACCTTTTGCACAATACCCGCACAACTGTTCTGCAGGGAAGACCAGGCTAAGAGTGACTACAGGTTCAAGGCCACATGGTGTGTTTTGTGACTAGTGAAAAACTAGAATTCACATATTCCAGGCCTTAGACCTTTTGCCATTTCAACATGCTCATTCATAGAATCATAGCATTGGAAGAGACCTCATGGGCCATCTAGTCCAACCCCCTGACAAGAAGGACAATTTGATTCAAAGCACCTCCAATAGATGGCCATCCAGCCTCTGTTTAAAAGCCTCCATAGAAGGAGCCTCCACCACATTTCGGGGTAGAGAGTTCCACTGATGAATCAGCTCTTACTGTTAGAAAGTTTTTCCTAATGTTCAGATGGAATCTCCTTTCTTGTAGTTTAAAGCCATTGCTCTGCATCCTAGTCTCCAGGGCAGCAGAAAACAATCTTGCTCCCTCCTCCTTCCCACAAGTGTGTGTATGTATGTGTGGGGATGGAGATATATTATATGTATAAATATATATAAAATTTAGCTACACTTAATATTTTGGTATTAATTGGTATACACTAGATACGATGTCCAATTTAAGGTAGGACTCAATTCATTTTGCATAGATACATTTTTAAATTTATACATTTTAGGTTTGTGTGCTCCAAATATCATACCTTTGCACTTAAAGAAGCAAAAATCATATGTGTTGTTCATGGACATTTGTTAACTTGACTAACTTAGCCGAAGTGTGGTCCAGTGCTCTTGAAATTTACAAGGGGCACTTCTACCTATAGGAAGTGGTCTGAGGAAAGTGCAGTAAAAGAAGTTCATTGCCCTTGCTCTTAACACTAATACCTGGCGTCATGTATTGAAGCAGTGTATTAGGAAATTTGGGGCAAATAGAAAGAATGACTTCACATCATATATTTAATCTGATTCTCTAACACAAGATAGCCTGCAATGTGGATGGCTTTAAAAGAGAATTATATGTTCATAGAAGACATGACTGTTGGTGACTACAAATAATGGTGGACATATATTATTATAGCAGAGGCAGCATTTCTACATATGAGTTACTGGGGGGCATGAGAAGAATGTGTGGGTTTTCTGATTATTTTATTAAATTTTCACTAGAAAAGATGAAAATGGTATCAATACATAATATATTGCTCCAATACTGCAATTCAGGAGTGGAGATACTGTGATTAAAAACTGTAGCATTCATTTCCTGCTTTCTTCTCTCCATTGATAATGTCTTGGCCACTGTATACAAAGATGCTGGGCTGCATAGCCCTTTGTTCTGATCCAGCATGGTTTTTCTTAGGCTCTTAAATGGTATTTTTAGACCAAAATTTCTTCTTTCGGTTCTAGGCTACAGCATACATCAGGGGTGGTTTAGGTTAGGTATTTGTAAGATTAAAAAACAAAACAAAACAGAAAATGATTCTTCATACCAACATGGCTTGATCTCTAGGCTGCATTCTCTCTGCATAGAGATCAGCCCAGATATTCCAGACCTCTGAAGATGTCTTTCCTAAAGGATTGCAAAATTCCGGAGGTAGCTCTAATATGAAGAATTGCCACTGAAACCCTTTTATCTCCCAGTGAAATTTCATGTTTTACAGTACGGGATTATTCATTTTGCTTCTACGGTATCTCTTGGAGAAATGTCTATGGAACCTCTTGGAGGAGGATTACAGCACTTTAGTAATGCCATTGAAAAGCATTCTGTCCTTCTTCTTATTTCTCATATTTCTCTTCTTTTTCTATCATTCATATATATATATATATGGAAAATACATTATATTTTTAAAAATTTAAAAAGAAAAGCAGTCTGTCCTATCTTTACTTCGTGGCCATTATGGTACAGTTAAGAACAACTAACAGCCAAATGCTTTACCCAATTTTTAATTGTGCTGACTATGTTAGATGTTTTATTGTTAACCATGCTTTTAAATGTACTTGTTTAGTTATTAATTGTTCTATGTTTTTATTTTGATATTTAATTTCATTTGATTAGTACAACGCTGTCATTATTCCGTATTATGTTTATTGTTGTAATGTTTTAGTATATGCCAGGTATTGAATATTTGCTTTTGTATGTGTAAACTGTCCTGAGTCCCCCAGGGGAGATAGGGCATTCTAAAAATAAAGTTTATTATTATTATTTCTCAGTAAGCTTTTGTGCTTGCCTTCCATCTTGTTGGCTAGGACAAGCCTTCTGCCTTTTTGATGAACTGTTTACCTTCTGTTAACAGTAGTCTTGTATAAATCAATAATATTGATATGCTCTGTATCAGCATGGGACAAGGCTTCCTATTTTGTTTTCTTGTCTTAGAAAGGGACATTTGCCCTTACAGATAGTCTACAGAAGTCACTAGTAGTTCACTGTCCAATGCATTTGTCCAGAGTTGCAGAGCTGTCATCTTGCATCTTTTCAAAAATATATGAAAAAAATTAAGAGTCCCTCCAGAACTGCAAGCACTATCTCAAGCAAATATTGACAATTTATTCACACTGTCATTACTTGCAGCAATAGCCGATGTAGCGAAGCAACCAAGTTGGGGGGGGGTGTTGAATGCTCTCATTAAGGAGGCCAGACTTGGTGGAGGTGGTTCACAGGAGCGGAGCTGCAGGCTATTGAAGGCTGCTCTGCCCCCTGCTGTGCTCTTTGCTTCAGCGTGAGCTAGGAGGCAGGTTTCCCCCCCCCCCCCCCCGAAATTTTCAACCCTCCCCGAAATTTTTTTCTGGCTACGGCCCTGGGCGAGGGCACATTAAAATGTAATTTAACTATGACTTAGTGTTATGCCTAAACAAGTTTGCATTTATAAAAGATAGAAAGACAAGTGAACTTTGACAACTCTCATAGCTTTTCTGTGAAGGTAGAATATTTTCAGGAACCCTAAGAAATGTATATTGATTATATGCATCATATTAGTGTTTTTGTTTTGTTTCCTGCTTTAGCCCACACTTGAAATTCAACAATCTTACCTTGGTTTCAACTCATGGACTGCCAGGGAAAGGTGAATCAAACAATCTGAGATGTTTAATTAACAGGTTTGTTGCAAGGCGTTTCCAATAAGATTTAAACATTGTTTTGAACTTACAAAGCTCATATGTGGTAGATGCTAAGGAAGGTTGTTTTATTTATGTTTTACAAAATATAGATGAAAGCTCCATATAGTGTATACTAGTGCCTTATTTTCTGTCATTTGTCTCTGCCAAATCACTGCCCTGCTGATACTCTCTAAATGTTAAGGATACTGAAATTTTCATTCTTCATTTTCAATCTCTTCTACATGTCCTAAGAATTTAACTCTCTGAGTTAAAAGTGGAACATCTTTCTTGCTTCAGGAACACATGTAGCTTTAGGTACACATGTAATTCAACATATAAGTAATACATTTTGTGGGACCTTGGCCCTCCAGAAGTATGGACTGCAGTCCCCACAATTTCTTACTGTGGGCCATGCTGGGAAGAGATGGTAGAAATTGCAAGCCCAAACTAAAGGTTAAAGGTTTCTACCGCTGCTATAAATCATTTCACTTACTGCAGCTGGTAAGGTTACTCCTGGACAGTTGATAACATATTAAAGGCATAGTTTCGTGTGGAGAAGCATTTCGTTTATAACCAACAGAAATAATACCCTCTGCTTTTAAGTCACTATGGGGGAAGATATTCCTAAATAAATGAATCCAACCCACAGCAGGCAGAGAATATCTTTCAGCAATGAAAAGCTGTAGCTCATGCTATGAGAATAAGGTGCATTATCCGTTAGAGTGAGTCTGTAAACATTAGCTGAAGGCTAAGAGTTTTCTAGCAAATAGTGCAAATAAGGCAGTAGTCAAATTCCCCCAAAATCACATCTGTTGCTAATTTAAATCTTCACACAAAGGCCTCTTCTACACTGCCATATAAAACCCACATTATATGACAGTGTAGACTCATCTAATCCAGGACAAAGCAGATAATGTGGATTAACTTCTTTGATAATCTGGATTATATGGCAGTGTAGAAGAGGCCAAAGTGTTTTTATCTATTTCAGAGGTTAGGAGACTTTGGTTTTCCAGATGTTCTATAAAGTCCCATCCGCCATGATCATAAAAGGATTATGGGAGTTATTGATTCAGACATCAGGAGAATCAAAAGCTCTCCGGTCTTAATCAAAGAGATGCATTGTAAAACAAACACATATGCAATGTTCCTAAGACAATAGCAGTATAAATGTCTCAGGTTTAAAATCCATGGCTGTGATAGCGTATTATTTTATTGAAAGCATCTCCAAAGGCTTCGCTTAAACCAGTGTTTCTCAAACTGTGCTCCTCCACGTGTTTTGGACTCCAGCTCCCAGAAACCCCAGCCAGCTTACAAGTTTCTAACAGACCTCACAACCTCTGAGGATGCCTGCCTTAGAGGCAGGCAAAATGTCTGGAGAGAATGCGTCTAGAACATGGCCATATAGCCTGAAAAACCTACAACAACTCAGTGATTCCAGCCACAGAAGTCTTCGGCAATACATAGCTTACAAGTTACTAGGAATTGTGGGTGCTGAGGTCCAAAACATCTGGAGGAACACAGTTTGAGAAACTCTGGCTTAAATGATGTGTGGAGCATCCAGGACAAGTTTTGTGGTTGCCAGAGTCCCGAGTATGTGTGTAAAAAATGCTTTGCTCCTAAGTGTCTTCTAGGGAATATGGGGATTGTTGGCTTTCTCTGAGTCTATGAAAAACCTTTAAAAAACAGGAATAGAAGCATTTCAAGCCCTACTCCAGAGGTGAACTGTGCAAACTTTCATATAGCAAATACATTTGTCTAGTAACGTGTGGATTAACCATAATATTTTATATGTTTTGCAATGTGCTCTTATGCACAGAATTATTTTATTTCAAGAGGTTATTATCCAGGTTGTTATATTAAATATCTGTGAATAGATCTTTAGTCTACATGCAATAAAATAGCAAGGACTTCATCATTTATGGGACTTAAACCTGCCCCCTCTCTTCAGATGTTAATGCTTGGAATCAGCTGCCACAAAATGATATGTTTTTTTCACAGCCACTGTTTTAATGAAGATGACTATGCATTGATGTCACTTGCTTCATGGATTAAAGTTGTGGCTGGAAAAATGATTGGTATAGACAGATCTGCAAAGCATGTCATAGTTTCCAATAATAAAAAAGTACCGTATGACCACCTTATTCTCTGCACTGGCCAGCAGTATCAGGTGAGATGGTAGCCTGACATTATGAAGGTTAGTGTGTTTCATGCAATGAAAGAACTCAAAGGATGAACAATTATAAGTACTTTCCTTCAGTATAAGGTGTACAATCCTTTGGCCATAATTTGGATATTTGTTTCATGTCAGGAGCGACTTGAGAAACTGGAAGTTGCTTCTGGTGTGAGAGAATTGGCCGTCTGCAAGGACATTGCCCAAGGAATGCCCGGATGTTTTACCATCCTGTGGGAGGCTTCTCTCATGTCTCTGCATGAGAAGCTGGAGCTAACAGATGGGAGCTCACCTCATTCTTCTGATTCAAACCGCCGACCTTTTGGCCAGCAGTCCTGCCAGCATAAGGGTTTAACCCATTGCACCACCGGGAGCTCCAATTTAGAATTAAATTGTACTGTACTGAATTAAAGTACAGTTTTACTTAAATATAAATATAAGATGAATTTTAGAAGATGAGCCTGCAATCCAGTGAAATTCTATTAGATGTAAATATTCCATTCAGTCAGATAGGGATCTGAGAAAATACGCAAAGGATCTGACTGGTGTGCTAATAGAAATCATGAAACTGAATCCAGACAAAGTGGAGGTTCTGTCGATAACTGGTAAAGTTGATCAGAGAGTTGGTTTTCAGTATTGGATGGGCTTTTTCATCATCTGAAAGATCAACTTGGGCTGTCATAAGAACTGACTGCTCTCAGCAGTCTTTCAGTACTGCCCATATTTCTGACTTTCTGCGATTCTTTTCTTTGTGCCTCCACCTTTGGAGTTGAAATAGCATCTATGGTGGTTCCTGAACTGTAGAACTCCATTTCTATTTTCATTTGCCTGGAAAACATCTTGTAAACCTTTTCATTCTGCTTTAAGAGAATTTTTAAATTTATCCAGGTCACTGGTTACATTTTGCTGCTCTTATTTTCAGAAAATAGACATCCATGTTTTTCTTTCTTTCCTTGTTTTTCTTTTCTCCCTCTTTCCCCTGTTTTATTTTAATATTTTGGTGATTGCTTGACATGTGATATAGTTCTTGAAAATAAATAATGATATCCATAAGGAAAGTGACTTAATTGAACTGGTCATATATTACATTCATCTATAATATTAACTGTTCATACAGGTCCCATGTCCTACTGGTGCAGATATTAAAAAATTGTTAACCAACAGAGAGGTCCCAAACACGAGTGAACAAAAATATACAGGAACTGTGCCTTCCAATCTTTTTGTTATTTGTGATGATGAAGATACCTCAATGGCTATTAAGTGGCTCAAAGAAAAAGTTGTTAATAATTCAGGTAAGGATTTTAATACAATTGTATTGGGATGAGGTGGCGGACATTGATGCATTTCTTGGCACAGTGTTTCTCCATTTCAAGCATATAAATGTACCCTAATTAATCCTTGCAAAATGTTTCATCTGTCATGGTTTGTTTTCGGAATTAATTTGCAGGTTATTGCCAGACCATTTTTTTTTGCTTGGAATAATGGCTAGAAATAAGAATTATCTATAATTATTTTATGACTTGGAATGAAAGCCCTAAGAGCAAAGTCTGGATTTATTCATTAGTTAACAAATTAGATACACTTTCATCGATAGATGTGCTCTGGAGCGATATACAAAATTTACAAAGTAAAAATCCACTGGAAGGAAAGTAAGATCTGAGCCACAGTAGACTTGAAAAAAAAACACAGCTGTCTTTGATTCGTTCTACAGATACTTTCACAAAAACTTGTATTGTACAGATACTTGTATTGTACAGATACTTTCACAAAACTTTGTGTACTATTATGTTAATGTAGAAAGACATTTACCCTTATTAAGATGTACATAGCTGCTTTAGGAAGACTTGTCCATATTTAAAACTGTTTCTGTGAATACCTGTGTCATACAGGATTTCTTTATTATCTACACACATAAGATTACACAAAGGTAGCCTGTAGATCTAACTCAGTGATGAGACTCACACAAGATAATGTACTGTGCCTGCATAGGGCATCATTTGAAAATTTATAGAGCTGTTATGCGAGCATTTTGGCAGTAGCCCCTACTCCTTTGGTCCATATGGCTGGCCTCTTAGTATTGAAGGACATGCTGAGGAGTGATTCACTTCTTTTTGGCTATAGGTGGGAACAGGGTGGTACTCTGTTTGGATTGCATTCTCGCTTTCTTCCTTTGGATTTCAACTTGACTTTGCACTAGACTCCATCTTTGGGCTTTATTCAAACTATCTGGGGCCCCTTCTATGCTGCCATATAAAATCCAGATGATCTGCTTTGAATTGGATTATATGACAGTATGTTGTTGTTGTTGCTCATTCATTCAGTCATTTCCAACTCTTTGTGACCTCATGGACCAGCCCATGCTAGAGCTCCCTGTCGACCGTCACCACGCCCAGCTCCTTCAAGGTCAGTCCAGTCCTATCCATCCATCTTGCCCTTGGTCGGCCTCTCTTCCTTTTTCCTTCCATTTTCCCCAGCATAATTGTCTTCTCTAAGCTTTCCTTTCTTCTCATGATGTGGCCAAAGTACTTCATCTTTGCCTCTATTATCCTTCCCTCCAATGAGTAGTCGGGCTTTATTTCCTGAAGTATGGACTGGTTGGATCTTCTGGTGGTCCAAGGCACTCTCAGAACCACAGTTCAAAAGCATCTATCTTCCTTCGCTCAACTTTCCCTATGGTCCAGCTCTCACATCCATAGGTGACTATGGGGAATACCATTGCTTTAACTATGCAGATCTTTGTTGTCAGTGTGATGTCTCTACACTATTTTATCAAGATTGGACATTGCTCTCCTCCCAAGAAGTAAGCGTCTCCTGATTTCCTGGCTACAGGTACCAGGGAGAATGGCCTTGGTACCAATTTCTAATACCAATACACAGTTTGACATGTTATTCCCCACATTCAGAAATACAGGTCATAAGCCTGTCTGCTAGGACTTGAGGTTCAGATAGCTACAGTTTCTGAAGGCGAAGTAGTAGGGTCTCATTCTGCTGTGTCACACTATACCCATCTGCAAGTTTTCTTCATTCATGAAGCTCAGGATGCTTCCAGATAGTGCCAAAACCCATGGCGAAATAGGTTAAAGAAGCCAGCTTTGGCATGGGTTCTAGTCCCTACCCCCTGCCACAAACCTCCCTTTATGCCTATGATGCTTGATAACAGTTACTTCTGGAATCCAGAATCCAGATTTTTCTGTTAATATTGCCTTTCCCTTTTTGAGTTAGCATGGGATGCCACAGTATTTTAACTGTTTCTAATATTGATTCATAATGTATCATTTATATTCAATAAAGCTCACTGATAGATATATGCAAGGAGCAAAAGTGCTTCAATGGTCCAAAACAGGTTATTTATTGTTCCATTGTCGTGGAGCTTGCTGCTTTATTAATGCAGGCTTGCTAAAATATTATAACATTGAAACTGCAGTGTATTAATCATGAAGCACCAGTTCTGATGGTCTCTCTAATGTGCTTTCTTTTTAATTTGATTATTACAAGCCTAAGAATTCGGGTCATACTAAGTTCATGAAAGTTTTATATTTCCAGTTGTAGAAAATGACTAAGAATTCTCAGAACTGAGACATGGCCATCTATTATTAACTGATAAATCCACCGTAATAGGACTGACTTACAGTTGCTGCATATTCTTAGACTGCTTCTACGTTTCTCCTAGATATGTTTTCATATATTTAAGACATGTCTGGAAATTACTATGAACTATAGGAATGATCTAGTTCATTCTGTAATTACTGTTAAGAAGGCATATATAGCAAGACTGATAACCAAAATATAATTTCTTTCCATCACAAGAGCATTATTTCCTTCCATTTAATACTGTTGCCATTCATTATCAGGAAAATGAAATTGAAGTCTGTCTTGAAAACCATGACTGTATAGAAATGGAAGAGTTAACAAAGTTATACCTAATAGTACTGATCTGAGTAGAATTCTTAGGGTATAGAATTTTGAAGCTACATGTCTCTATCAGAGTCTATTTAAAAGAGACATTTAAGCAAAGGAAATTCACTGAATAAAGGATATTGCAGTGAATTTTACTTTTTTGTCTGATCTCTAACCAAGCAAAAGAGATGTAATGTGAAAGATTCTTATCCTTCCAAAGATTGTGCCACCTACATTGAATTTTTCATAGGCATTAAGAACACACAATTTTTTTAGAATTCATCAGTCATTTAGACTTTTTTATCAGCCAAAATATGAATAGGGTTTTTGAAACAGTACTGCCAATATGTGTGTGATTTTAAAAGTGGAAATATGGGAGGAGCCCCTCTGAGGTACTGTCAGTAAAATTTGTTGAGGAGGGATATAGGAGGTAGGAAAATGGGAAAGCAAGGTCTTTGGGTTGGTTTAGAATTCATCAGTCATGTTTGTTAAGCATGGACCTGGACAGTAGTAAATAAACTTTGGTTAGTAACTATTAATTGAAATATTTCTTATCTGACTTTTTATAATGTTCACAGTATGAAAATTTATTATTTAATCACTGGAAATATCTGAGATTTTTTTGAAGTTAGTTTCAATTTGAACCCCAGAAAAGCAATGCATTCTGTTGATATGCGTAACTTGATAATAACAGAAGAATATTTGTTTTCAAGTTAGTTTACTTTATTCTCCGTAGATAGATGAATATTGTGACTTACCTCTCACATACTGAGCCATGCAGTAATAAACATTTATTTGGGTTATTTTGCTAAGGAGAATCCACTGGTTCTAATATCTTAAGAGGTGACTCCAAATGTTGCTAGGAGAAGGATGATTCACATTAGAGAAAGCAGAGAATGTAATAATCTGCAGTCCCATGGTTCATAGTTTCAAATCAAGGTTTTGCCACTCTACATTCTGCCAATCTATATTCTCTCCAACTTCACTCGAGGAAGGAAGCTTTGGCACTTCTTGGAACTATGAGTGTTCAGTTGAACTTTAGACAAAGTCAGATGAATATTCGACCTTTGGCTGTGAACTCTTCTTTGTCTTGCAAAACCAAGCATTGTTGCTAGTTTTGCCATCTATTTACACTACTGAATAACTTGTATTGAATTCTCTCACCCTTCTGTAGTATCTTGTGGCCTACTAAGGACCTTATCACATTGAGTATTGGATTTGCTAAACATCGTGGTGAATCCATTGGGTCCCGCCGGGGGGCGTGGAGAACCCGTCACCCCACACCCCAAATCACCCTAATCGCCACTGGACTTCTCCTACCAGGGGAAGTGTCCACTACCCTGTTTTCCCCCATTGTAGCAAAGGCAACGTGTGTTGTTACGGCGTCCACGTGCACCGCTTCCTTACCCCTTTTGCCACAGGGTTTGACCAGAAGTGTGCATTGTGTAATGGGCTCCATGGCAAAGGGGGCAAGGAAGTGGCGTATGATGGGCAAACCAGTCAATTCGGGTTGTGTTTCTTTTGGAAAATATAGCTTTGTGGCCTTGTTGGGTGTTTGTAAAGATCTTTGTGTAGACAGGATTAGCATTCAGGACTGTATTATTCAATAGATGGAGATGGACTACTGTTCCCTTCATTCCTCAATATTTTCTGGACTGTAAGGAGCTGCTAGATCAAGAAGATTATGGCCAGAGTCTCAAAATAGTAATTTCTTTTCAAAATATTTTACTGCACGTACTTATAAAGTGTGCATGTTGCAAATGCCATTTTAGAAGCATTTTCTTTCTCTAGCAAAACATCATATAAGCATTTTCTAAAAATAAAAATAAAGAATGCACTTTTTTGCTTCAGAGGATGCTTAACTCATATGTGGTTATAATTGCATAATTTAGTAAGCCATTTGATAACTGGCTGAACTTTCTTCAGTTCTCTGCCAGTCTTCATACTGGCTGAGCATATTGAAACATTAGGGACTTTCCCCAACCTTTTGGGTTCAGTGTACCAAATATCAATGTGCTGCATATTATGAGTTTTTGAATTTGCTAATCATTTTGATATCTTCTGGTAATAAGGAGATATAGATATTTTAATTAAATGATCAGTGAAACTAACACTATTTTATGTATAGGTAAAGGTAAAGGTTTTCCCCTGACATTAAGTCCAGTCATGTCCGATATCCATTTCTAAGCCGAAGAGCCAGCATTGTCCATAGACACCTCCAAGGTCATGTGGCTGGCATGACTGCATGGAGCGCTGTTACCTTCTCACCGGAGTGGTACCTATTGATCTACTCACATCTGTATGTTGGCAGGAGCCCCCAGTGGTGCAGTGGGTTAAACCCCTGTGCCGGCAGGACTGAAGACTGATAGGTCACAGGTTCCAATCCGGGGAGAGGGCGGATGAGCTCCCTCTATCAGCTCCAGCTCCTCATGTGGGGACATGAGAGAAGCCTCTCACAAGGATGTTAAAACATCACAACATTCAGGCGTCCTCTGGGCGACGTCCTTCCAGACGGCCAATTCTCTCACACTAGAAGCGACTTGCAGTTTCTCAAGACGCTCCTGACACGACCAAATCTGATTGTTTTCAAACTGCTAGATTGGCAGAAGCTGGGGCTGACAGCGGAAGTTCATGCTGCTGCCTGGATTTGAACCTGTGACCTTTCGGTCAACAAGCTTATCAGCTCAGCGGTTTAACCCACTGCGCCACCGGGGGCCCTTATTTTATATATAGTATATTTAAATTTAAATATCTGTATATTGCTCCCGCATAACCCCTTCTTTTTTACCTGTGCAGTATACATTTCTGATCTATTCATTCTCATTTTCCCCATCTCCTCTTACTTCTCAGTATAATCCTAATTATGTAGGATTAGAAAAGCTTACATTTGCTGCCATGAACTCTACCTATGTTTATTTCACTGAGACCCCCCCAACTCCTTAAATTCTGCCCTATTTGTTGTAAATGTTATTCGATCTGACAAAAGAGGAACAGATGGTTTCCAGTTTGTGGAATGATGTGAGAGAATACCTGGAAATTAATTTTGGAGGCTTCCATGCCCAGTTTTCCCTCATTTCTTCAATCGAGCTTTAAAATGTTATTTATATGTTAGCTTGATCTAACCAAACAAAAGATAGCGGGGTAGTTGTGCAGAGGGACATGACAAAAAGGACTCCCCACTTTTGCTGAGATGCTCAAACCAAAGGGCTTCAGACACCGGGACATAATCAATGTTCCATTTCTCTATTAAGTGCTCGCTACTTTGTGGGATGTATTCTGCAGATTCTTCGCTAAATTATCTTAGCTACTGTTGCTAGGCAACATTGTTTGCTTCATAGCATCAGAGCAACAAGAGGGTCACAGATCAGCTCAGTATTATTATCATCTGAATTACACTAATAGTGTTTTTATTATATGTCTCATTTCTTCCCCCTCCCCAGGAAATGTTATTGTCTATGGGAATACCATTGACGTTTATACCACTACAGAATCCCTCTTATCATTAGGAATTGAGGGCAACCAGATACACCTTGTGCATCCTCCTGCCGTCTCCAATGTTACTTCTCTCAATAACAATCCTATTGAGAAGGCTGTCCAAAAAGCATTGGCCAGGGCTGGTGTGACTGAATATCATGACAGCCTGTTGGCTCAGTGGAATGAAGGAGACTACCCAGATCCAATTACATTTGCATCGTTCACTACTAAAACAAAGCCATTTAAGTTGCAATGTTCTGTAAGTATACACCTTTGCCATGTTTGATATATTAATTAGAAAATCAGAGCTACAGAATTGTAGGACATCAGACATAATCTCTGCACAAGAATTGTATTGTTTGCTATGAAAATCATTGAAACGACCAGGACTTGTCCAACAATGTTTCTTTAAACTTTCCATATCTGATTTGGATTTTTTATTCAAACTATTTGAAAGGTTCTAATAAACAAATATAAATGTTGCTGTTTGCAGTGCTCCAATCAGAATGGGTAAAAGGATTAGTTAAGAAAGTGCAAAGTGAAAGGTAAGATTGCAGAAGTCAAAATGAAGGATGACCATAGCCAGGGCCATAGCCAGAAAAAAATTTCGGGAGGGGTTGAAATTTGGGGGGGGGGTTGTTGAAAATTTCACGGGAGAGGGGGTCGAAACCTGCCTCCTAGCTCACGCTGAAGCAAAGAGCACAGCAGGGGGCAGAGCAGCCTTCAATAGCCCGCAGCTCCGCCCCTGTCAACCACCTCCACCAAGTCTGGCCTCCTTAATGAGAGCATTCAACACACACACACCCAACTTGGTTGCTTCACTACATCAGCTATTGCTGCAAGTAATGACAGTGTGAATAAATTGTCAATATTTGCCTGAGGTAGTACCTGCAGTTTTGGAGGGACTCTTAATTTTTTGAATCTCATAGACTTAGCATGGGGATTGGATTAACCAGTTAAAATTCATGAGTAAACCAGGTTTTTTTAAAAATCTGAAACATTTGGGGGGGGGGAGGGGTTGAACCCTTAAACCCCCCCCCCCCCCCCCCCCCCTCGCTACAGGCCTGACCATAGCATTCTCCAGGTTTTCTTGTAAAGAAAGTGGAAGGGGGAGTCATATTTTTCCAATATTGTAAAGGGAGAAATAGCACTGCTTACAAATGAGCTGCAAATATGTAGAATAAAGAGAGAGAAGAATCAAAAGCCAATACTTCACAGATGTATAACAAGATAGTGGTATCAGCAGATATGAAGTGTTTGTGAGAAGAGAAGGGCTGAGAAGAAAAACTGAGGAGTTTTGTTGTGAAAGTTCTGAGCTCAATGCAATTAAGCATCAATGCAGAAAAAATGGTCAGCAGCTGGAGACGCAGAATTTGAGAGAGAAAGAAAATGGCTTTATTCAGTGTTGTATGGTACTGAAAGCCTTAGGGTATGTAGGTAGTGTGTAGAGAGATTGGAGCATTCGTTTTTCAATTAGAAATGGAAAGATCAATTTGGAATCAGGTTCAGACTAACCAATGCGGGTCTGAAACAGCCTTAGTTTTCTGATTAATGTCATAGCTCTCGTAAAAAACAGGTGTACTATGCTATTGATCCTCCTGGATTTCTAAAAGGCTTTTGATACTATTAATCATGCCGTCTTAGTGGACAGGTTCTAGTGAGATGAAGCAAGAGGCACAGTGGTTCTTATTTCCCTGTCTACAGGACTGATTCCAGAAAATGACATTGGGGGTTCCTGGCTATCCCCATAGTATGGTCATGACACACAACACTACTTCTAAGTTGCTATGAGTTTTTCAGGCTGTATGGCCATGTTCCAGAAGCATTCTCTCCTGACATTTTGCCCACATCTATGGCAGGCATCCTCAGAGGTTGTGAGATCTGTTGGAAACTAGGCAAGTGAGGTATATATATCTGTGAAATGTCCAGGGTTCCCCATGCAGGAATCAGCCAGTCTTTGAAGGCCATTTTATGCTAAACAAGTTGGCCAATTGGAACATTAACACTTGCCTCAAGCAGACAAGAGTTCTTTCTCCCACCCTGGACATTCCACAGATCTATAAACCTCACATTGTTATATAGTATTATAAGCAGTAATAAATTCTAAATGCTGTATTATGCAAATCTTGTAGTAACTGGAAGAATAAATGTTTCTGTTACTAATCAATTACTGGAATATTGAAGTAACTAAGCAGGAAGTGATGCTTGCAGTTGTAAAATGATTTAGTTTCAATGTGTTTGGGTTTAACCTGATTTCACTGTTTATATTACTGTTTGTTTTATAAGCTGTTTAATGACTTACCTTATTTCTAGGCATTCTTTAACTTTACCAACAAGAATGTGGATTATGATGCCTTCAAGGCAGTTAATGACGCCTGTCTTGTTTATGATGGGAGGCTTGTGATTGACACCAACTTCCATACCAATGATGTGGCCATCAGAGCTGCAGGTCCATTGACCAAGTTCTCCAATATATATTATGCCAATGAATGGACACACATCAACTTTAGCTCAAAAGAGATTGGTTTCCAGCTTGCTGCCACCATGCTGAATCTTTTTGATCCAACTCTGGAGCCAGTGTTTGAACCTCCAGAAGATTTGGATAGACTTATTCCCATGTACAAGGGATGCAAAATTCAAGGTAGGTCAGAAAACTTCCTCATTTATGTAGTATTTTAATTATGTCCTCATCTTGCTGAAGCATGACATTTTAGGAAAGTAAATAAAACAACATTTTATGAGCATTTGGTTTTTAGTAATACCGTATTCCTAACTTATTAAATTACTCAAAATGCAATTTTTCCTGTACTTTTCCCTCTGTGCTATTACATTTTTTCTCAGAGGCCAATGATATTGACACCAATTATAAATTAGAAGTATAGTAACCCCATTATAACTGGCATAAGAAATAAAATCACTTCCTATGCTTCACAGAATAATGAGAATAAGATGGGGAAGAAAACTATTTGCTGATTTGAGTATATTGGAGGAAAAATGGGAGTCAAATAAAATTAATACAAGAGTACATAAATAGTTACAAAAATGAATCATATGGCTTTTTTCTGGATATGCCTTTTTGGTGGAGATTGCAATTGGTTTATTCTAACCTTGCCCTCACATTTCCTGCATTCCTGCTCCCAAGTTGCCTATTTCTCCTAAAGGGTTATATGTGCCTTAACTGGCCACATCTAGATCCAACTGTGTCATTTTCTCCACTGAGGCTACTGAGCCAGCTCCAACCTTTTGTTTCAATATTACTGATCTGCTCATAATTATCCATGTTTTAGTCTTTAGTGATAGTGAAGGATAGGTAGAAGGACCCCCCCCCCCAAAATTAGGATAAATTACTTAGATGTTAGATGCAGAAGAGAAATATATTATATGTGATGTCTGAACACTCCTTATTTTTACATTACAGTTTTTTGTTTGCATCTTGCAAGTTTTGCAGTCTTTGAATTATAGTTTCTGTTTTTGAGCACAGACTGAATCAATAGACACCATAAATAGGCTCAAATCACATAAATATAGCAAATGGATCTACCATTCTGCTATACACACAAGCTAATCCTGAGAAATTTTAATATATTTTATTCAGCAAATGACTTTGTTCATCCCACTAGTATGGCTAGGAAAAATCTCAATTTTCATCTAATGCAGTGGTTCTCAACCTGTAGGTCCCTGGGTGTTTTGGCATACAACTCCCAGAAATACCAGACAGTTTACCAGCTGTTAGGATTTATGGGAGTTGAAGGCCAAAACATCGGGGGGGGGGGGGGGGGGGGGGGGGGGGGGCTACAGGTTGAGAACCACTGCTCTAGTGTGTGGTTGGATTTTCCCTCCCCTTACATATCAAAGTAACTATACTTTTTTTTCATTAAAACCTTGATAGTTGCCTTAAGGAAAACGTGCTTCTGGATTAGAACAATGGTGAAAAAGGGGGGGGGTGTACTTCATCTTTACTTTCTTTACCTCCTTCCACTAGAATTCTCCCTCCCAAAATCTTTCATTTTACCAATTTCCAAATAAATGTTTGTGAGGTTAAGTGCTCAGCTAGAAGCCTGCATGGGGAAAATTGGGATGATTCAAGAGAAATGTTATCATTTTAAAATGACAGACAGTGAAAAGATTAAGATCCCCTCTCCTTTCCTTTCTCCTCCCGAAGTACCTCTTTTAAAGCTACTTTCTTTAAGAGGATTTTAATAGATCTGTTTGCCCGCAACTTGTGTGGTTCTTCAGACCTTTTGAGAGATAGCATTTTGGTAGTACCCTTATAAGAAGCCACTGTTGGCACAATGGGTTAAACCCTTGTACTGGTATGACTGCTGACTGAAAGTTTGAATCTGGAGAGCAGGGTGAGCTCCCATCTGTCAGCTCCAGCTTCTCATGCGGGGACATGAGAGAAGCCTCTCACAGGATGGTAAAACATTTGGGCTTCCCCTGAGCACCATCTTTGCAGACTGCAAAGTCACATCAGAAGTGACTTGCAGTTTCTGAAGTAGCTCTTGACACAAAAAAGCACCCCCAAACTCAAAAGAGCTTTATGTATACTCCTTAAGGAGCTGTAGGCACAGCATTCCGGTGAAAATGTTACATCTGCTTTCTACAATCTTGTCAGATTCAACATTTTTAGTTGGTCAGGTAAATACCTGAACAGGCATATACACATTTTTGCCTTGCAGAAGCAAAAGAATTAACATTTCCATTTTATGATTCTGTGAAAAAAATATTGTAAGTTATACATGAAGCAGACTTATAAATATCCCTTTTGAGGGCAATCTGGAGTACTTTAAATTATCTGGAATAATTTTAAACAAGCAGGATATTTCTTCTTGTCATTGTTTTTCCCTTTTGTCTCTAGTGTTTACAAAAAAAATCCCTCTCAGTATAACATCTTTTGCATTTCTGGATAAAATTCAGCAGGAATCAGTACATCTGCTATGATTTAAGTCTGTAATTGGGATGATCCTATGCAATCTTTAAAATATCTATTCTCTCTCCAATCATTACATATTTATCTATATATATAAATCTGTTAGGTTGGTTCAACGGGACAGCAAAACTCCCCAACAAAACTGCACCAAAATTCCAATGCCCATAACACAACCCACAAGGTACAAACATATCTACTCAAAATGAAAAACAACACAA